ATAGAAGCATTTTTTACAAAAGAAGAACATTTGGAAAAAAAGGTTATTTTCAGTTAATTTTGTGCCAAAATATTGTATTTAAAATATTTTTTTTTGTCATAATGTCCTTAAAAAATTTTATACATGTATTCTAATCTAAGTGACACTAAATATCATAAATATTATCCATTAACACGCTTTTGCAAAATCACGATTCCGAACGTAGTCGGATACCTTAATGCATTGTTAAAATTTTTATTTTTGTTGATTATCGTTTTTTTTTAAATCGTTTGGAAATGGAATATATTATGATTGTTTACACATGTCATTTGCTATAACTGTTTCCATAACTTTGTTCTTAAATATAACTGGGGGAAAATAATAATTTCGTACTGTAAAATCCGGTGTATAACGCGCAGTTTTAACATAAAAAATAAGATCGAAATTTAATGGAGCGCGTTATACGCCAAGTATAAAAACGATAGCTTTGAAAATAACAAAAGAGAGGAGCATAAAGAAATTACTTCTACACAAATCGAAATATTGTTTATTTAAAAGAAATGACACGTGCCTTATGAACTAAAAGAGTTATAAATCTTGAAGCATATTATTTTTCCAAAAGTCTGGGATAATACCTCGAATAAATGGCTTCAAAACATAAGAGCAATGCACACTCACATTTCAGGTTCCTTCGTAAAAAAAAGGGTGCGCGTTACACGGCGAATACATCTAACAATTAAAAAATACAGCTTGAAAGTCTAGGTGCGGGTTATACGCCCGAGAGCTTAAAACATCGGATTTTACGGTATATACTTTTTAAAAAGAATCTGCAAAAAGCAATAGTTGACAACTGCGAAGCGCATGAACTAAATCACCGGAAATACGTGATTATATTTATTATGTGACTATGACGTCACAGGAATTTATCCCCTTTTCAGAGATAGCACTCTCTCAAACGTGACTTCTAGATAAAAAAAGAATCTTGAAAAAACCGCACAAAATTATGATCTGAGAATTAACAATGAAGATAGGCAAACGCGATATAGAAATGGTTTTCAAATAACCATAGGTATTGTTAATCCATTAAGAAAATAGAGGAAATTCTACTGAATTTAAGAGGAGTCACTCCATACAGGATTTTATATGCGTGCGATGATTAGACAATTGGAGAAACTTCTTGAGGCGACGAGGAAAAAGTAAAATTAAGATTTTTCCTTCTGTGTCCAGAAAGTCAACATAGTAATAAAAAATAAAAGAAATTTATAAAGTTTCGCATTGTGGACGTAAGTAAAAGTTGTTTGGCACAATTTGTTTATTTTTT